TAGTCCGGGGGAGTCGGTTCGATTGGGAGGTGAATGCCGAAAAATTTCAACCCCTTCATTTGGTTCAGTTCACTTTAACACTGCACTTTTAAAGCGGACCAAACTGCCTGGACAATGTCACGCAGTTACATCAGCTGCTCGTTTGGGGGCGGTTTTGCCCTAAACTACCACCGACCAGGAAGAAGAAAAGCATGAGGAAGAAGAAAACCCTGCTCATCGATTGGCCAGGACCGAAAACGGAAATTGATCCCCTCTATGTCACTTCCTCTCTTTGGTCTGCTGGATAGACGGTTTGCATTTCCCACTGTAAGTGAACCGCAGCAGGGTTCACTTGCAAGTGAACCGAGACCCCCAGTTTCCAAGCGTACCAGGGTTCGCTTGTTTGGTCTGCACCAGAGTTCGAATGAGCGTTCGCTCCACTCCAAATGAACCAAACTATCCGTGTAAGTGGACCAGGGTTCACGTGTTTGGTCTGCACCAGAGTTCGAATGAGCATTCGCGCCACTCCAAATGAACCAAACTATCCGTGTAAGCGGACCAGGGTTTGTTTAAAGTGGACCAAATACCACCAGTGTGAATGCGTCCTAAATAGAGAGCCCTGAATGAGATTTGCCAATTAATTGCATAGGGATTTGGTGAAATATAGACCAATTACTATTGTATATTGGTTACACAAGTTCAGGTATTGGAATTGTTTTTGGAAGGAAAAAATGGTTACGGGACATCTCTAGTTCACATGTGCACGAGCCTCTCATCCATGAGTAGATGCACGCTTCGTTCTGCACAATGATACGATTGGTGGGTGAAGTTTGGTAGAGAGAAAGTAGTTCATACATGCAACTGCTTTTTAAGTAACAGTTTGGTCCAAAATTTACTCCCAAATTCAAACCACCACTGTACAGTATACAGTACTCTGAGTATAACATATAAAGCACTGTTTAGTTTGTGTATCAGTACATGTCTGCCTGTACATGAGATGTGATCTCATTCATGCCTCAGGTCATGTTGTTATTGCTTTAGATTCTGTCGTGCCTGTAATGTATGTCTTAATGTTGCAGTCTTTTATACTGCTTGAGTGTTGTCAAGATCACATTTCCAGCAAATGGATAATAAGGATGCACTGTATTGTACTCTATGTGCTCATGTTGACATTGCACTTAGTGGCAGGTAGCATTCAAGAAATAAATGTATGCTGCCGTTGATACCAGCCAGGTGCTGTCAGTCAAATTCTGTCTTCTAATTTAGTAAGAGAAATCTCCACTAATAGTGAGTTATTTTTTCCCTCACGGATTTGTGTCTTTTTTTTTTTTGTACCTTTGTCGGTTCTTGTTTTATGAGCTGTCATCGGAGCTGGTGCTCCTCCGCCAACAATTCATTTCCTCCCTGCTGTGAGCAGCGCCTTCATTTCTGTTGTGCCTTGCATTGAGGAACAAAAGCGTGCCGCAATACCTCAATCAAGACTTAAACAGTTGGCAATGTGAAGAGTGCTTTATTTCATCAGAGCTGCTTTCCACCAATACACTGACAGTGGTGGCAGGTTACCAAGTACTTTCAAGTAAGTATTGTTGTTGAGGACATGTAACTTCACACTGATGGTATTTTACACCTCCAGTCTACCCCAGTTTAAAGAGGAATGTTGTGTTTCTTACATTTATTGCTTAAGTTATTATGGCAGCACAGCAAGAGGGTTCCTGGTTTGAACCAGGGGTGGGGCAGCCCTTCTGTATGGCCCTTCATGTTCTTCCCATGTCAGCGTAGGTTTCCTCCAGGTACTCCGGCTTCCTCCCACAGTCCAAAGACATGCATGTTAATTGATGACTCTAAATTGGGCGTACATGTGAATGTGAGTGTGAATGGTTGTCTGTCTCTATGTGTCAGCCCTGTGATAGTCTGGAGACCTATCCAGGGTGTACCCTGCCTCTCACCCAGTGGAGGTCACTCACCTCCATTGCTGCTAGAGTTACAGAAGCTTAGCATTTCAGCTAAATGCTTCACAAGTAATTGCCATTTGTAGCTGCAGTGGCTGTTGTGAAGCAAACACTATACTACTTTGAGCACTGTGCCACAGGAGGACTCAGATCTTTCTCTTAAAGGGCAACATCACCTGAATTAAGTAAGTCAGTATGCTATTTCCATGGCCTTGGAAAGTTCAGTCAGTGTTTGTGAACATGAGCTGCTCTCTGTCAAAGCCAGAAACCAGAGAGGATAAACTTGTGATGTCAAAGGCTGTAAAGTCTGGAGCTGCTCCACAGACAGTGAATGGAAGTTAAACGTTTTCTATTTTTATAACCAAATGAGCTTTATTATATCGTAGTGTTCTCAGCTCTGAAACAGAAAATGTACCCATATACTCAGAACATTCCCTTGGGTGCTCTCAGTGTCATCTATATATAACATCTTTCTCAGTGTATTGTCTAGGGAGCAGTTGTAGACTTTATACCCTTTGGCACTCTAGTTTTCAGATTGGGGAGAGAGCTGGTCATATTTACCAATATTTTTAACTGTTTTAGATCATAACAATTCTTAAACGGTCATAGTTGCCCTTTAAGTAAGTACTGCAATACCACAGTGTAGAAATACAGTGTTTCAGGTAAAGGTCTGCACTCAGAGTTTACTTAAAGTGATACTTTGGTGATTTTCAACCAGCTCTGTATCAAAACAGTGTGGGTAGTATGTGTAAATGAACTGTGGTTAACTCGCCTCCATTTAACCAGTCCCCTAGGTATCCCTCCTCGCCCCTGGAGGAGCTTCGATGGCTCTCCGCTGTTGCTTGAACTACAGGCTGTACTTCCGCATTTTCATTTTGCTGCCACCAAGGACACAAGGAGAATAGAAGTCTGCCTCTCTTTTTGTCTAACAAACTCGAAATCAGATCAAACAGTAAAACCAGGCAGTGCCGATCAAACATGTATTGCTGTATTACTTATTTCTTGCCTACAGTGTTTTTAGAAACATATTTTAGTGCTATGTTTAGCTGTAATGGTGCGTTGGTTTTGTACTCAGAGGTTGGAAGTCAGAAGTGGGAATGACTTCACCTCCGAGTTGACAACAGTTTTTGCATTCTAGTTGACAACGGTGGACAAGTCAGAAAAAAACATAGATGCCCGCACGAAAGCCTTTGTTGCCCTTGCTCTTTCGGAGTATAGACAGCTTCAAAACCATCATGCACTCCAACTGATGAACGCCACAGATGAGGCTGACCTAATGTAAAACAAATAAGATAAAATTGCTATAAACAGTACTTTAGCAGAGTGTGTGTGTGTGTGTGTATGTATGTGTCTGGCAGCCATCTTGAATTTGTAAGTCGGGGTTGATGCGGTTGCTCTGAGTTTCCGAGTTGGAAATCTGATCTCAGGGTGCGTTCAAGTTTAAACTTCCGACTGGGAACTGGGGATTTTCAACCTCCGAGTACAAAACGAACGCACCATAATAGTGAGAGTTTGGAAACAGGAAGTGGGGGTCATACTGTTTCCTGCACAGTGAAGATGGAGGCCAAAAAACTAGGCAGCGCTGATCAAATCTAAACAAAGATTCTGTCACTGGGTTATCTATTTCTCTCTTAAAATGTTTTCAGAACAATCACTCATCAAACAGACATGTTCGCATTACATCACCCACCAGCGGGAGCGTTTATTGATCTGGTGTGGCGCAGTGCATTCTGGTAGTTGTAGGTTTTCTCCTTCTTGGGCAAAAGTGTCCTTTTCTCAGTTTTCTTTGGTTCTGTGGCTCCAGTTTCCAGATTATTTGCATCTTTCTGCTGCATAGACATCCTAATTTTATTAAAAGGACATCTTTCTGCATTGAAATACCTCTTTAAGTAAAAGCAAAAAAAGTATCAGCCATAAAATATGCATCAAGTACCAAAAGTAAAAGTACTAATTATGCAGACTGGCCTATTTTAGAATAATGTATATTATATTATTCTGAATCTGTGAAGTAACTGAAGTTATCAAATAAATGTAGTGGAGTAGAAACAAGTGGCAGAAAATCGAACTACTCAAGTAAACGTACTTAGTTGCTTTCCACCACTGCTGAAAACGCAGTGTTATTGTTGTGTGTCCATGGAGCAGAGGCCCAGTATCTGCCTCTTATCTGGCACACTTCTCAATGTTTGCTTTTGTGAGTGTGTGGACATGTTAACCTTTGCTCCTTACAAGGGAGTGCTGTAATTAACTCAGTTTAATGAGATGCTGTTGTGTGCTAAAGCAAACGAGGCTGGACGGCGGTGCGGCTGTACAGCTGATATCAGCCCATTTCCTGTCAAATCTGACCTTAACCAGCAGCAGCTGTGGCCCGCTGGAAACGGCCTGCATGATACAAGACCTCCCATCAGCATGTGTGGCGTTAACTAATTTGGAGAGCAATTTCATACAGCTGGTAGCTTCTACCGTAGGATGTGATTTGGCGGTAAAAATGATTGATGCCTTCTAGTGTGGGTGTGTGTGTGTATCTTAAATCTGACCTATCATGTTCCTCCCTCCGGTTTACCGATAAAAATGGCAGCAGGGCTTGTTTTGAGCGGCATGAATCGTTCGCAGCATCTTGACATTAAGTTGCACTCCTTGATGCCTTACTATAGCCTCCGCTCCCATCAGCTTAACTTATCTCTGTCCTTGAGTGCTGAGTCTCCTGGCTGCTCCAGCCAAATGTCTTCATTGATGTGCTCTAAATAAAACACTTAGATGTCGCTCCACACGTGACTCCCGAGAGATTTATGTGACATTTATGACATTTACTTTCAGAAAAGGATATAGGGCCAGGGAGTTTTCTGGCAGCGGAGACGGCTCTGCCCATTTGTGTAATGATATGGGATGAATTCCAGTTATTGGAAAGCTGTATAAAAATCTGAGCGCTCCTCTCCTCCTGTCTGTAAAATTATGACAGAAGCGGCAGCCCTGCTGTAGCCTTTTTAGTTTGGAAATCTGTCACAGATGGCTGTCTTCTTGCATGCGGCCAAGGAAGTAATGTGATTGTGACAATTGTGTGTCTTTTGCCAACAGATTGAACATGCTGCAGGTTGTATGAGTGACAGATATGGGGTCAGCGGGATCATATTTGCAGACTTTCACTGTGCTGGCACTTTTTTGCCTGTTTTGTAAGTATCTCCATCATTTGATTTGACAGAAATTTTGCAGCTAAACTTTTCCATGATATATATGTACACCTTAACTTGCTATTCTGCTTCTGACACACCTAACAGTGACCGCTGAAGGTGCGAGGCCGGAGGTGCGTGGAAAGGTTGGAGGCGTGGTGGAGTTGGAATGTAGTTTTCCTCCGTCAGAGCCACCTGCTGCGTCCTTGGCGTCCCTGCGTGTGGTGGAGTGGGTTCGACGGGGTCTCGACATCCCCGTCCTGATCAAATTTGGATCCTACGCACCTCGCCTCCATCCACAATATGAAGGTGAGCATCTAGAGAATAAATCACAATACCTAATCTAGCTGAAAATTCAACCTTTCTGTTGACTGTGATTGCTGTAATTTTGTGTCATTGTCTGAACCAGCATGTCGCCTGCATATACAAGTCTGCTCTACATATGTAATATATAATTCTGGTTATTTTGAACCTGAGCTTTCAATGTTATGGCTTGATAATATTTGATTTTCAGACTAACTTGCTTACTGAGCTTCACTCTTGTGTTAATGTCGTGTCGAAAGAAAGTGAAAAAGAGGGATTTTGTACACTTTAACTTGCAAGAAGATCCTGATTGAAACATCAACATGACAAATACTACCAGCACACTCTATCTTATCATAATAATATATCTGCCTAGGAATATGTGTCGGCTGGTAAGTAACAAGAATATTTCTGTACAGTAATGCCAGGAACATATCTGAGGCAATTTACATATAGTCTCACATTTACATAGAAATAAATGTTTGTTTAGTGTAAAAGAAAAAGGAATATCAGCCAATGTATCGTTATAAAAAACACATAACCAACTCATAGTACTGTAGATATTTGCCAGGGTCTATTTGCAAGTCCTCACATGTTTAAATAAGCAAGCACTGATATTTATGAATGAAACATAGACTACAGAGAACACTGCAGAGCTACTGTGGACCTAAAAATGTCACAAAGATGGCGTGCAGTTACAAGCATGCAGCTGATAGTAATCTCAGCCATGTCAGCAGCAGGGCTCATTGGAGGCTATGGATGGCGATGTTGGTCACTCAGTCCGACACTTTGGTCCAGACTGAAACGTCTCAATAACAACTGGATGGCTTACCATGACAATTTGTTTTGTCTTTTGGCATCATGAGGTCAAAATAAATTTCATTTTGTTGTGTCAATTTGGATTTACGACCAAATCAAAATGAATGGCATTCCTATTGCTGTCAGCATTACTGTTGTTTAACAGGCAAGTGTTAGCATGCTAACATGTTTAACTTAAATGGTGAGCATTCATTTTTGGCAAGGTTGCATGCTTAGCATTTAGCTCAATGCACCACTGTGTCCAGGGGCAACCTCAGAGAGCGGCGAGCATGGCTGTAGACTCTTTAGCCCCTTTCCACTGGACAGAAACCCAATAACAACTGGCTTTTGTTTAGAATGGGAAAGGCTACAACTGGCATTCGATCATGGGACAAATGACTGCAGTAGTTGAAATATGACACCTGGGTGGAAGTGTTAATTTTTGCTCCTTTATTTGAAGCAAAAGAGAGACTGAATAAGGAACATAAAAATGCTGCTTTCTGCTATTAACTAACCCTGTTTTCAGGCACATTTGTGACACTGAGTCTGACTCACCAGTAAAAACTAGGAATGCACCGATATGGATTTTTCAGCCAATACCGATAACCGATAATTTTACATTTTTGTATTTCAAAAAGAAGTGTATAACTGATCTGACCTAACCAAATCAAAATGACATCACTATCGCTAACACCACAAGAACCAACAACAGTTCTGACTCATCACATGACTAGCAGTCAAGCCTTTGAAAAGCTGGGTGTTGTGTTCCCATGTTTAAAAAACAGCATAGAAATGCTCATTTTAGTGGAAAAATGGCATTGGTCTTGTTTAAACAACCAATATAAATTGAAGCCACCACTACTGTTGTAGTGAAAATAAAACTGTGTTGCCACAATAATCAGAATAACTGGCCTTAATGCCACCGTATATGTAATTCAGGAAATGTATTGCTAGAAATTCAAATGAAGGTCTTATTGCAGTCCGTGTGTGTTTTAAAAGTTGTGCTTTAATATATGTTTGGGTCTTAGATTTTATTGTAAACCAAAAAGTCAAACAGGGACAAAACATGTAACCACAATCAATAGCCCACAGAAATGAGGAGCACTGAAAAAAGTTAGAATGAGGGTGGTTATGACATACTTTATTTTCTCCCACTGAAAGAACGTAACCAGTATCTGGATCCCAGAGAATATTCAGTACCGCACCTTGATGGCCTTTCCAACCAGCCACAGTGGGAGCTACTTTTAAAGGAGCTAAGACTCTCGCGTTGCATCATCATCCATTGTGCACTTTCTGCCCACAGCTCCAAGAACAAAGAGAGTCTGTGGGGAAAAAGATCCTCAATGGACCTGGAATACCTTTGTGTAGCTCCTGTTATCCTTTAAAGTCACAAACAATGGGACTAGTGTGGACAAAAGGAAAGCATGTCTGGGTGGCTCAGATCTTCCCTTTGTCAGAGTCGTTTTTATTTTCCATGAAGCTGCCTGAAGAGAAATTCAACCTATTGACCTTTCCAACGGCTATTTGAATTTGCCGGAACGCCATGTAGGGTTTTGAATAAAATGCAGTTTTTGAAATAAACTGCCCCAGCAGGCACGATGATACCACTTCAAAAGGGTGAAATAAATTCCTCCTGTTTAACATTCAGGTGGAAGCAGATAGCAGACAGCTAACTACCACCTGTCATTGATTTTCAGCAAGTTAAATACTGCCGGAAAGCAGACATCAACAATCAACGCTTGGTATAACAATGAAACAATTAGAGATTTAACCTTTTAAACCTTACTTGCTGGCTGTTGCGTCAGTCCTTACAAATTCATGCTGTGCAGCTAAACATTTTCAGACCCACTGCACTTGATTCTAAGCTCTAGTGGAGATCTCAAGGTTCTCGAATATACCGGAAATGTCAGGCTGAAGTTTTTAAAATGATGCAAAAGACATCTAGAATACTTCCATTCAATGGAGTTTGAAATATTTCTCTCAGTGTCAGCACTCAGACAGTGTGGGATGGATGGGTTTCCCCAACTACCTATAGGAAAATAAACAGAGTAAAAGGAGTTAACCCACTCTGCTCCAGTGTGAATATTTGGAACTTTTCTCACTCTCATATCATTATAAACTCATTAGCTTTGGGCTCCGGCAACTTAAGGCCTCGATCACGCAGGTTGCAAAATGCGAGGCGCACCACACAATTTTTTTAATCACATAAATTCGTATCTAGTTCCTAAAATGTTGAGGCAGAGGGTACTTGCTGTAGCTCTGGTTGAGGGTGAGAGGCTGTCAGCAATTAGTTTGTTGGGCACAGGAAACCGGAGATCTGTGTCGGTACATGAGACCCTAAAAAAGAGGGTGGGTCATGTGGAGTACCACCAGTTGGTCCAGGAGCTTCTCCCCAATGATGGCCATTTTCAGGCATATTTTCAGATGAGTCAGGGGCACTTTGACCACCTGCTGTCTGTCATCAGACCAGCAACTGCTACCACCAGTTTCTCCTCCATTGTTTACCAACTGTAACCTTGTTGTTGTGACCACCACAGAAGGCCCGCCTCTCAAATCATCTGATTGGACAATGGGAAAAAAGATGATGAAAAAGAGATGATGTGAGCAGACGTTGCGCTAGACTTTTTTGTCGCTGGTCATTTTGACCGACAGGGTCATAAAAATCCGGTCATAATCTATTTTTACTGGTCATTTTAATTTTCGTTTTTAAATGATAATAAAGATATTCAAAGACATTTAGTTTTCATTCGTTCGTTTTTAATAAATCCAACAAGCAAGTTATAAAGTGTGCATTAATAAGGACATGAACGAAAAGATGAACAGTCACATCCACACACCCGTGCCATTAGGCTTCGCCCTGGACACACCGGACGGCACTGACGCGTCTGGTGTGTCCAGGGCGTTATGTAGTTATGCCTGTAGGCTCGGTGACACAAAATTAAAATTGTAATGAAGTGATTATGGTATTGAAAAATGTGTTCAGTTATGCACTGTTGTGTTTTTTTAAATTATAAACACGGTATTTTCTCCTCACGTTCCTCAGTGCATGCTGTTATTTTATTTTGAAAATTGGCCGAATTCTCTCGTCTTTTCTGTGTCCGACTTCCTGTTTGGTACGATCTGCTCGATCCAGCTTGACAGAAGCGCTCGCAGCTCGCGTGAAAAATAGACCAGATGCCGAACTGAAGTGCTGCATCCGCGGGCGCTCCGCTCTGCTCAGTGGTCTGTGTGGACAGCCAGATAGGTTAACATGGGTGCTGACTGAAACTGCCTCCGCTGCTGGGCGCTGCGCTTCGGTTCCGCGTGTGTGACCAGGGCGTTATGTCAACAATGTTACATGAAGCAGATGAATGACTTTTTCTCTGCAGTGTGAAAACGGCAGCCACTTAAACCACTGACTGTGCACTCTGGCCAAGTGGGCAGGGGTGGTAATTGCAACTGGTCAAAATGACCGACGGCCTTCAGATTTTCCGGTCATTGTTGTTTAAAAAAAAAAAAACGGTCAATGACCGAGAATATCCGGTTAACGCGACCCCTGGATGTGAGGTGCGTTTGTGCTCTGAGTTGGAGTTCTTTAAACTGGAGTATTTCACAGCACTATGGCAAAATTGGCAGGCACCTAGCACACAGAAACGTGAGGCGCATCGCAGTGCAAAAACAGCGAGCAAAAATTAATTCTCAGTAAAAACGATTACAAAAAGCTGCGTCCAGCTGCTCAAATGCTTTCTGTGTGTTCAGGGCCAAAGACGGGCATTTGCTTTTATTTTTTCCAATATTTTATAGAATATTATAAAATTATATAAAACCTTTTACCCCCCATTGTCACACTGTCTAGGACACAAGGAGTAAGCAGAACTGTGACTGCAAGTTTCATGAAAAGTTTTATAGATATAGCCAATCACTGTGACGCTGACAGCAACAGTCACTTGCAGGTAGTCAACTGGCAATTTTGCTTGCATCTTTGATAAACCTAATACTGCTGTGGAGAGGGGCTGCAGCAAAACACATTTTAGCCACCTAAAAAGATCAGTATCAGTGTTGTAATATTTTCACTGCTTTACACACTAACCAATGGAGGCAGCAGTAGACCAACAACTCCTATGTAAAATTATTGTTTTTGTCAACGGAGTCTGGTGGCTTTGAGATAACTGCTTCAGTCTCCCGTTGGTAAGAGCTGCCTGACAGCAAGATAAAGCTGTGAATAGCAC